TCTGTGGCCCTTCTCCCAGCTCCTTCCATTCTTCAAACTTATCAGCTCTCACCATCTTGGGGACCTTGTGCCTGGATGGGGTCAGTCCGTCTGGGGTGGCTTCCCTGTGCCCCCAGGGACATCACCATGTCTATTTTCAGGAGGTGCACCCCCAATCCTCCCTAGGGAGGTTTACTTCCTGGTGTCTCTTCCTCCCCACCCCCATTTAGACACTTGCCAGACTCACTTCCTTGGGTACAGGGACTGGGTCTGGCCCTGGAGATGTCCAGGAAGACAGTCCTGTGTTTGAGGGGGGTCAGCTAGCACTGGCCGCCATGACATGGAGGAGAACTTAAATGCCTCAGCCTAGAAGCAGCACTCTCCCCCAGGCATGGCACCCTGGTCCCTCAGTCTGGCTGAAAGCGGGTCTTGGGAAGATCAAAGACAGGTAGAGAAGAAGGACAGTCAGGAGAGAAGAGGGTGCAGGTCAGGGAGACGTCTCAGCTGCCGGCAAAGCCAGGAAACTAAAGGGATCTCAAAGCTGCAGTTAGGTCCTGGGGCAGAGACCATCTCCTGTCAAGGCTGGGGGACGGGGAAGGACAGGTAGCCTTGGTTTGAGGCCAAACCAAGGGAAGTAAGAATGATCACGTTCTGGAGAACATAGAAAAGCCAAGGAGTTACTTTGAACTCTAACGGGGCAGAGTGGACAGAACTGAGGAGTCTGCTGAGCACAAATGCAGCCTCAGCAGAACAGAGTCACGTGACCCTGGTGACCCGCATAACCACGGAGGCAGGTGGGGAGAGGGGAGCAGACTGACTGATCTCTCCTGCTGTGTCACCGGTCCTTGTTACAAGAAACCCGAGTCTCAGAGAATCTAAGACGGAAGGTAGGCAGCTGCCTCCCCAACCATCTGGCCTAGACCATTTTACAGATAGAGAGGAGTGGAGAAGGCCCTAGGTCCCTGATGCCGCCATCACCTTAAGTGACCCACCAGCCTCGTTCTTAGACCCAAATCTGACCTCATCCCCGCTGATCTGCCTGCCTACCCCATCTTTGTAGAAATGGGGCCACACTGTGGAGTTTGCTCTATGTTCGATCCTGTCAGGCCTATCTGATAGGCTGGGAAACCCCCCTCCCTTTTCCTTCGGGCAGACTGGGGCTTGGGGGGGGGGGCGTGTGCTTCTTTCGAAGCTTGTGGGGTTGCTTTCTACTACAATGCCTTTCCCACTGTGCCTCTGCCTGTCTGTCTTTCCCTTCAGCCTCTGTCCCCTCCTAGAACTGCGGAGATGAATCTCTGAAGCTTCATGTTTCTGGGGTAATTGAGTTGTGCTCCTTGGTCATGACGGGGAGGAGGCAGTAGCTGCCCATGGGTCTGGCCCTCCCCCAGCTCACTTAGCCCGGCCCCCTGTGAGCCAGCAGAGGGTGAGGAGTGACAGGATGCTTCCTCTTCCCCAGCCCAGCCGCCTTCTCCAGCTCTCTGTCTCCCCCTCACCCCCTCCCTGCTTCATCTCCTGCACAAATCACATGGTGACAGCCCCATCCAACCTTTGGGGAAGGGTTTGTAAATGTGTCTTCCTTAGCTCTGATCTCCAAATTGTTCCTTTTATTGCATTTGTCACGGTGAAGATTAAAGTCCCTGGGTGGCCTGCACTACAAATCACAGAGTCTGCTCTGGGAGCAGCTGCAGGTTGGGAACCAATGGAGGGGTCTGAGTCCTGTTCCAGGGTGTTTGTGTGTACACACTCACACGCTCCCCATGTGCGTGCGGTGTGAACTTGTACCGAAGAACAGAAGATGTGCCCCCCACATTGTCCTTCTGGACCGTTTGTCCCCTCTGTAGCAAATGGTGATTTCTCCCTCCAGGCTGTCTTCCAGGATCTCTCGGCCCACACTAGGGGCTGGGGGGTAACTCGGTGGTAGAATTCTTAACTAGTGTGTCTGAGGTCCTGGTTCCTAGGAGTGCAAGAAAAGAGAGAGAGGAGATGACCTCCGCCATTCTCGAGTGGATGCCTCCGTCTACGCCGGTCTTCCTTTCGTCTCTTCCAATCAGAGATAATTTGCTCTCTTAGTGGGTCAAGGACAGCTCAGCAGCCAAACTCCCAAGAATTTACATCTAGGTCCCAGAGGCATAGCTGACCCTTCCCTGTCCACAGCTCCCACATCCTTTCTTTCTCATCCTGGACACGACTGGGTACAGAGAGGGCACAGCCGAGACAGAGGAGACACAGCTGAGGAGGAACCAAGAGGACAAAAGCTCCCTTGTACATGCACTGAAAAAAAAAGGTCCCTTTCCTACCCTTATGAGGTGGGCTTCCTGCCTGTCCCTCATGCACATTCATAACATTCAAATTTATGCCGTAATCTCCGCCACTCCATATGTATGAGCCTTTGATGGGTGTTTGGGTTTATGGGATGCACCCAGCCCTCCGTTCCCTCACCCGCCCACCGCCTCTAACCACTGCAAAGACGCTCGTACATAATTGACATCGGCAGATTCTTTCATTATACAAGATTTAGCATCTGCTCGGGGATCGCTCGCTCCTCACTCACTACAGATGACTTTTCCCTGCGTTTCCTATTATCAATTCAAATTAGCCCCATCTCCCCACCCAACCAGCGCGGCGTTTACACTTGACAGTGAGGAAACAGCGAGGCTATAATGGGCTTCTCAATTATTTAGGCCCAGTTAGGCCAGGACCCAGAAGGCCTCAACAAGGGGGTGTGCTGGGGTGAGGTCATCACGGGGAGAGGCTAGGGTAATAACTGCTTGATTTCTCCTTGACCTTCCTACAATCCTCTCTCCTTTACCTTGGGGACCCCCCAATATTTGGGTCTACAAGACCGAGACAGTCCCTTACAGCTGCCACAGTCATCAGCAGCTGCCTCAGGTGTATTTACTCAGTCGGAGGACCCAGTGAACTACCAACATTAACCAAAGAATCAGGGACTTTGTTACCAGTCGGGCTGACCCCCTCCTCTTATGACAATTTCTTTTTCTTTCTTTCATCTTTTTTTTTTTTTTTCTTTTTTCTTTTTCAAGACAGGGTTTTTCTGTGCAACAATCCTGGCTGTCCTGGAACTCTCTTTGTAGATCAGGCTGGCCTTGAACTCATAGAGATCCTCCTGCCTCTGCCTCCTGAGTGCTAGGATTAAAGGTGTGCACCACCAAACCCCGCACGACATACTTCTTTAAGGCTTTGTGAGGATAAGTGGTGGTGCCCTGGGATCTCAGAGATCAGTGAAAGCCAACTCTGGAGTGCTCGGAAGAGGCAGAGCAGCACAGCCCCGGACCTGGAGACTCAGGAAAGCCTGAAAACTGAGAGCTTCTACAGGGGATTGGGGAGAAGTCAGAGCCCCGCAGAAAGGAGATGGCAGAGGCCCTTGCTCTGCTCAGACCACGGCTGTGCTGAGCTGTAATTAGGTCAGTCATGCCCCCATGCTGTGCTGCTCTGACTAGCCCAGGCTCAGCCTCCTGGAATAACTCTTGGATCCAGTGGCTGTACAGGAGCCGCTGGGCTCCCTGAAGCCCTCTAAAGGCCCAAGTACTGGGCAGAATGTGCAAGTCAGCACCAGGCCTCAGCCTCAGCCTCCTGCCAACCCTTCAGCCATGTCAAGCAGGGCCCAGGCAGCCAGCTCAGCCCCCCACAGCCCTGGGCTCCTCTGCAGCAACCCCCCTCTCCCTTTTCCAGCCCAGATCAGTTTCTGAGGGCGGTGATGGGGGAGGTGGCAGGCGGGGGTCTAGGAGGCTGTGGGATTAGAAGTGGCTTTCCCATGCTCAGCCTCTGCAGAATCAAAGAATTCCTCCATCTGACTGGATTTACTCTAAGTCACAGGCGTATGGGACCTTCTTTCCCTCAGCAACAGCTGGAAACAGCCCTAAATATGATTAATTAATGTTGTGAAAAGCCCCGGACACAATTAAGTGGTGTGTGTGTGTGTGTGTGTGTGTGTGTGTGTGTGTGTGTGTGTGTGTGTTGGACAGGGGAGAGGAGGGCAACAGGAGGCGTGTAGATTTCCAATTTAGCCACCTGGGGGTGGGGCCTCCAGGGAAGCAGAGTGACATTTCCCCAGAGATGCTTCTTTGACACGCAGGTGTCATTTTATCCTGCCTCCAGTTTTGACAGATCAGTCCTTTCCTTTGTCCCAAGGGCACGAGGCTATTTTCTCTCTGATGGGGGTGGGGTGGTAGGTTGGAGCAGATGTGACATCTTCCCCTTTCCAAGTAGAACGTTCTCCAAACCTCACTGTCTCTTGCTGATTCTAGGGATCACGGACGTATGTCCCACTATGCTGACCAGAAACAAGCCCAAATGGGTCATAAACGGGAACTCAGAGGACAGTGAAGGAATGACTGACCAGCCAAGTCTCCTGTCCTGAAAATGGTCCACATTCATCCTCTTCCTCTGCACCTATAAGAAACACTAGAGGCCTTATCCTGTGCCCCTTCCACACCCAGGCCCAGCTCTGTGCGACTGGGTTTTCATTCCTTAAGGTATGGGCAGCTTTGCCTTGACAAGCTGTTGGTGATAAGCAGTGTTATCTATAATGAGGGAAAAAAAAGGGGGGGGACATAGACCACTCTATCAAATCACCCAAAAGTCACTACTAGATTTCAATAATGTCTTAGTTAGAATTTCTATTGCAGTGAAGAGACACCATGACCACAGCAACTCTTGGAAAGCATTTAAGTGGGGCTGGCTTACAGTTCAGAGGTTGAGTCAGTTGTCATCACGGTGGGAAGCATGGCTTCAGGCAGACAGACATGGTGTTGGAGAAGGACCTGAGAGTTCTACATCTGCATCAGAAGGCAGCAGGAAAAGAGAGAGACACTGGGCCTGGCTTGAGCATCTGAAATCCCAAAGCCCACCCCCAGTGACACTCTTCCTCCAACAAGGCCACACCTCCTAATATCACCACACCCTATGAGTCTATGGGGGCCATTTTCATTCAAATCACCACAAATAATTAAAAAAATACTATATTTGTATTAATATGTAGATAATTTTATATGTGTCTACAGTGTATTTTTCATTTAATTTTTTAAATTTCGTGTGTGTGATTGTTTTGCCTACATGATCCATGAAGGTCAGAAGAGGTCATTGAATCCCCTGGAAGTGGAGCTAAGGATGGTTATGAATCGTCCTATGGACACTGTGGACCAAATCTGAATCCTCTGGAAGAGCAACAACTGCCCCTCCTCCTCCTCCTCTTAAGATTTATTCACTTTTTATTATGTATAGTATTCTGCCTGGATGTACGCCTGCCCACCAGAGGAGCCTCCATGTGGAGGCTGGGAATTGAACTCAGGACCTCTGGAAGAGTAGCCAGTGTTCTTAACCTCTGAGCCATCTCTCCAGCCCCCACTCTTAACTTCTTAACCTCTGAGCCACCTTGCCAGACCTCACTCTGTATTTTCATTATATCCATCCCCGTTCTCCCCCTGCAATTCCACCTCTGCCCTGCTAGACTTCCTGGGCTGTTTTGTTTTGTTCTGGGTTTTGAGTTTTTGTTTTGTGTTGGTTTTGAGGTCTTTTGGTTTGGTTGGTTTTTTGTTTTGCTTTTGTAACTGAGTCCAGTTAGTGTTGCCCATATGCCAATGTGTGTGAGAGCATCCACTGGGAAACGAAGAACGTACCGGTGACCACATCCTTAGAGAGAAATTCCCCCACCTTCTGCAGAAGCCATCTCTGGCTAACAGCCGCTCAGCTAGAGGTGGAGCGTTGTGAGCCCGGCTTCCACTCACGTTGGAACGTTGACTGGCTTGATTTCATACAGGTCTTGTGCAGACATCTGCGGCTGCTGGGACTTCACGAGTCCAACTTCCGTGTCACGTCCAGAGCACAGCATTCACAGCTCTCCTTCCATCCTCCGGCTCTCACGGTCTTCCTGCCAGCTTCCCGACGTGTGCTCCGAGCCTTGTTGGGGACGAGGAGTGATATAGAGGTATTTATTTTAGGACTGAGTAATCACAGTCACAAATTATCAGAATTTTGGTCAGTTAGGAGTCTTTGCATTCACTGCTTCCCACTAAAAAAGATTATCTGACCAAGTTTGAGGGCATCATAAAGCTATGGGAATTAACATAAACATTTAGAAGACAATAAATTATTATTTGTAGCAATGGACCGACATGCTGCAGTTTGTTTGTTTGTTTGTTTGTTTGTTTTGGGGTTTTTTGTTGTTGTTGTTGTTTTTTCACTCTTTGCTCTTTGGGGGCCCTCCACTTGATTCCAAATAAATACATGAAGACTTATTCTTACTCATGAATGCCTGGCCTTAGCTTGGCTTGTTTCTAGCCAGCTTTTCTTAAATTATCCCATCCACCTTTTGCCTCTGGGCTTTTACCTTTCTCTATTCTATATACCTCTCTTTCCTTCTTACTCAGTGGCTGGCTGTGTGGCTGATTGGCTGGTCTCTCCTCCTTCTCCTCTCTTCTCTTCTTCTCTAGATTTCATCTATTTATTCTCTGCCTGCCAACCCCACCTATTTCTCTCTCCTGCCTCGCTATTGGCCGTTCAGCTCTTTACTAGACCAATCAGGTGTTTTAGACAGGAATAAAGCTTTACAGAGTTAAACAAATGCAACTTAAAAGAATGCAACACATCTTTGCATCAGTTAACAAATATTCCACAGCGTAAATGAATGTAACACATCTTAAACTAATATTTTCCACAACAACATGCTTCTGTTTTGCTGAAATGATTCAACCCCAGAAGAGGTCTCCTAGGTTCTAGCCTGATAGCCAAAAACAGAGTAGATTAGAATGAGCATGGAGAAGGCCCTGCTCGGGTCAGTGGGACATCTTCTTAATAGCCTGGTGTGCTGGCTAGTTTTATATCAGCTTGACTCAGGCTAGAGTCATCTGAGAGGAGGGAACCTCAATTGAGAAAATGCCTCCTTAAGATTGGGTCAGGCTAGAGAGCTTTCATGGGACCAACCTAGGCCCTTTACATATGTGTGACAGTTACATAGCTTGGTCTAATTGTGGGACTCCTAGCGATGGGATCAGGGTCTGTCCCTGTAGCATGAATCTTAAAAGTTCTTATTAATAAAATCAAACCCGAG